TGGAGTGGGGTGTGGGGAGAGCAGGGTGTGTGCAGGTGCACCGTGCCAGCAGGGGAGCCCTGGGGGCAGGACAGGCAGAGCACCCCCGGGGAAGCCATGCTGAAGGAGGCGGCTGGGACCCAGCAGGCGAAAGGTCTCTGGAGAGCAGGAGCAGAGGGCAAGGGGGTTGGGATGTCCTGATATCTTGGGGCTCGGCGGGAAAGGCACAAGTGGAGGCCGGCATCACTGAGAGTGGGTGCATCTGCCAGCGCAGGGGCCACGCAGGACAGGTCAGCGGTGTGGGATGGGGAACAAGCGTTAAGGTTCAAAGAGAGCAGAATGGCTGTGAAGGTGTTACAAGAACATCTCCTGTCGCAGATGGGGCAGGCACAGTGCAGCCTCAGGTTCTACCCAGTGACAGCTGGTAGCAGGTACATGGAGGGAGGGCACAAAATGAGGCCAGGTTCAAGGGGACCTTCCTGGGGACAGTGAGGCCTTTGATGACCTGGAAGCTCAGGCTGGTTTAACAGCCTTTCCTTTCCCTTTTCCTCAGAGCTCACAAATACAGACCGGCCATAGCCGCAGCCTGACAGCAGGTTGTTACTACACTGCAGAATGTGCCTTTGGGACTGGGATGTTGGAGTGGGCACATTTGGTTGGGGGGATCCCGAGTACCACCACGGGTCAGAGGATACTCCTAGCAGAGGAGGATTTCAGAGCCCTGAGAGCTGAGCAGGGCCAGTGCGTTTGGCCAAGGGAACCAGACCTGAGGGTGTCTGTACCGACCCGGGAGGGTGCTCTACGCAGAGGCTTGGTGGGTTGTATGGGAGCATAACACATCCTGTGAGCTGAGGAAGTCTCCCGTGTACACCTCCCATAGACCTCATAGGTTTTTCTGCAAAATAAATATGCATTTGTAAACTTAGATCAAAAAAATAATGTGGTCTGGAAGGGCTGTCGTCATAGTTTCACAGTCCAAAGACAGATACTTGGGATTATTTTCCAGCTCGCTGTGGTCCAGAATAGCTTACTGGTCTTCAGCTGGTTGCTCTGGGTGCCGTGCTAGCTAATGAGCCTTGGGAGGCGTAGGTTGTTTCCTATCTCTGTGCTGCTGATACCAGGCAGGTTACATTACAGTATGATGAACTTGTTTCATCTCGTTCTGCTGTTCATGACTCAGAAATTTATCATGTGTCTAACAAGGATATGTTTCTGTTTCAGGAAGGGGGATCTCCAGGAAAAAACAATGAGGGGGTGATGTAACTGTTTGGGGAATCTCCATGTGCTTTGAGACTAACAGTCTGGTATTTGGGTAGAAGATACTTCAGTTAATATAATTTTGAAATATGTCCCTGTATTTGTATCTTTCTTCCTTTAGGGAGACACCTACCCACTGGCAGCCTCTGCCAGGCACGAAAGCAGCCATGTTGGTCAAAGTGAACAGTTTGAGGCAGATACAGAGCTCTTCAAACAGTTCTCTTCAGCTGCAGAGTGCTCCAGAGGCCAACAGCCAAAAATCTCTTTTAAAACCAGCCATATATGCTCAGCCTCAATCCACGTCCCAGAGCCCTGGAGCCTCAAAGCAAATGCCTACAGGAGAAACGCAGCCATCTATGCAGATCAAAAAGATGGAGAATGGTGGGTTTTGTGTAGTGCTGATGAATGGTCCAACTTCTCAAACACCTCCAAGGAGCCAGACAGGAACCCCCCAGCCTGCATCCCCCAAGTATGCCTCCCCTGCGCCTATATACGATGAGCCATCTTTAGAGTCTCCAATTTATGATGAGCCACCGGTAGATATGGACACTGAGAGCATCAGTATGAGTGGGATGTCTCCACCAAGGTCACCGAGCAATAGCTTAAAAAAGCAGCTGCAACCAACAAAATTATTACAGCATCCAGGTATGCAACAGCAGCAAGCTGCAAAGAAGCATGCAAGAAATCCCTCTTCCACTGAATACAGCCCGGCTGGCAGAGAATATATAAAACACATGGTCAATGTTGACCAGTCTTCCAAACTCTCCCACTCCTCTGCTGCAACAGCTGATGCCTCTACTAAACTGCCTGGTCAGCTTTCTTCAAAGGACAGCTTCAAGCAGTCTTGGAGGATCTTGGAAGCCAACGTTCTCAAGAACATGGAAGCCCACCACAGTCGGCAGAACAGCCTGCCAACTCAAGAGTACCCAACTGGTATAAGCCATCAGGATTCTGGTTATTCAACTGGCCCTTCTCCAAGCTTGAGAAAAAAGAAAGGAAGGAGGCAGGGGACAGGTCAAGGAAGACCTGGCTCTGTGGGCAGCAGCAGCGAGCTCACAGCTTTGAATGATAAGCTGATTGCCGAGATGCGTGCTGTGGTGGGCAGGTCAGCAGCTTGCAGGGGAAGCAAAGCCAGCCTCGATGCTGAAAGTCTGGAGAGTGGCATCCCGTCAGAGAGCAGCAAAGTCAGATTTCAGTCCGACCACTTGAAAAAATGCATCAACCGGAGCTCGAGGGATGATGTCTCAGCTAGTAATAGATCCCTGTATAGACAGGGCCTGGAAAGCAGGGGCAGCTTTCCCAGCGATGTGGCTGCTCCACAGGACACAGTGAGGCAGAAGAGGACTTTTGAGAAAATAGACTCTTTAGAAAAGAATGTGACCAGCCAGACAAGTTTGGCTTCATCAGATGCTACGCGCCACTCCTCCCAGGTACGTCCCCATCCACACCACGTTAAATCGCACGCCTTCACTGGACTGTCGTGGTGCAGGGCCGAGTACCTGCTCTGCTCCTGGGTGGGTTTATTGGATGTGCTGCAGGCACAGATGTGTTCCACCTGCAGAATAGCAAACAGGTCACAAAGCTTCACAGCTTTACAGGTGAAGACCCCATTTCAGGTCAGTGGCATGAGAGGAGGGAGGATTGTGGAGGGGCTCGTGTCCAGCAAGGATGGACATGCGCTGGGATGGCCATTGTTCGTGGGGTACAGGACGCAGGCGTCACAATTTGCGTGGCCACATGGCAGCGTTTTCTTTTTTTTTTCCTCTCTCTTCTTTTGCTAATAGTTCCTCGTATTCTGTTCTCCCTTCTGATCATTCCTGAGCATTGAATGGAAATATTCAGAAAACTGGTGACAGTGACTCTAGCATCTTCTTGTTGGAAATAGCTATTTTAAAGCCCAGTAGTGTGCCTGCACAAGTGGAGTAGTTTTTCTCTGTAACACAGCACTTCTGCAGAATTTAGTTTGCCATCTTTTCTCCTATTTGGATTTGAAGGAACCTCCTGCTTCATGGGTTTAGTTCAGATTTACGTTCTACATAGGTAATTTTGTATCCCATGAAGGTTTTGTCCTTTTTCTCTTTGCTCATTCTTCCAGTTATTTCACTCCTCCTGAACAACCTGGGTCTCTGCCCCTCTTCTGTGAGGCAGAGCTGACAACAATCCTCCAGTGTGATAAGTGACTGTTTGTTTTAACCCTTTGCTCTGTCTTTTCTCCTGTTTGCTGGTCCACGACCTTTTCTGAAGAAACTTGGTAAAGCTCCTTGGCCATTTCAGATGGCTCCAGTAGACCTATGAGGTGTAACTTCTCTCTAAAAGCCAGGCTGACACCTCCCAGCTGTATCAGAGTTGTGTGTGTGTGTTCTCCTCTCTACTGCAATTTCTGATCCATAGTGGCTGGCTTTCACCTGAAGCCCTTTTCAGAACTGATGTCATCTTCCTGCGTTTTCCATTTTTCAGGCACAAGGCCAGTTTGAGATTATACGACTCACATGTTTCAGTGAATAGTTCAGCAATTTCCTTTCACAGCCTCTTTAGACTTGTTGGAAGACTGCAATCTGATCTTCAGGATGTGTTACACCTCATCGCATGGATGGGGACAACTGGGACTTAATGTCTTGATTATGCACAAGAGATGGTGGGTTGGGGACAGGCTGTGAATGGCCTTGAAAATGAAGAACAATAATTAATGTGTGGTAGGATGAAGAAGGAGAATACAGTGGAAGATGTAAGGAGATGGGTGTTGTGGTAAAGGCAATGAGTCAATAAATAAATACTCTATTTACGGAAATACTCTGAGATGGAAGTCCAAGTAAGGAGAGGGGAGGTTGCAGAGAATACAGCAGCAAAATCGCTCCTCACCTGAAACCGGCAGCGTGTGGCTTGAGTCACCAGCAATGTCCTGTGCCGGGCCCGCGTGGCGGAGAGGAGAATTGGGAGATGAGGAAACTCATTATCTGAGGAGGGTGGGCAGAAGGTCTAGGACATGCTGAGCAGAGGTGGATGCGTACTGTCAGCACAAAGATAATAGCTGGGTAGTTGTGTGAACGAGATTTGGGAGATAAGCTTGAGAGAGGGGAGAGAACCAAGAGCCTGTTGAACCTCTAGAGAGTATGAGGAGGTGGATCCTCAGAAGTAACACGCTGAAGGAGCAATTAGGGTGATAGGAGGAAAAGCAACCCTGGGCATGGAAGGTGGGTTGAAGGAGACGGAGGATGGAGATGGCAGAGAAGAACTGCAGGCAAGGAGATTTAGGCAGCATGTTGAGTGAATTCAGAGAGAGTGAGGAGGTAGAGGGGTAACTCAAGGGATAACAATCAAAACGAGGTAGAAGAGCAGGAGAAATGGTTGTGCCCCAGGCTGGCAATAGGAGGTGGAGTGCAATGTGTGCTAATCCTGTCATCCACATGTAGGTACATGTTGGGTGTAAGGTAGGGAAGGGTTGGACTGCGCAAGCCTCTGTCCTCAGTTCAGCAGTTCCTCCTTACTAAGAAGAAAACACTTGCTCTGAACGGTTAAAAATTAATGTGTGTTTTGGGGTTGACTGTAGGCCAGGACTGGAATAGTGTGTGGCACACAAGCTAAAAGTGGTCTGCAAAGAAGGAAAATGCATGTTTTAATTCACTTTTTCCACTGCAAAACCAAAATTTACAGGATTTCTGTTTCTTTGTCTTCCCTTAAAACCCAAAAACCTCAGGATTATCTTGTTTGGCTTTTTCCCGCTTGCTGGAGATCTCCTTGGAGAGCGCAGAGTGAAGTGTGGGCTGTTTAGCTCTTAGTTGCAGTATGTGGGAATTTCAAGTGTAGCAAAAAAGTCTGTTTCCTAAAGCAACTTGGGTGTTTGAGTTCAGTATGTGTCCCAGGCTGCCACTTCCATCCAAAACAGAGAATTCTGGATGGGCAAAATAAGTGTCTTATTCTCACAAGTAGTTATTATGTATCACTTTCTTGGGATCGGTACTATCAAAGCTCTAATTATGGAGTTATCTGTAGTGATTACTGGGGAAGAAGGATGGGTAAGAGCTGCATGTAAGAACTGCATACAAAGTCTGGAAGGAAGGAAAGTCTTTGCTGCTTATCTCTGTAAACTTATGATCAGTGGACTTGTCCCTGGAGCTAAGGAGTTTGATTACTGCAGATTGCAGGTGGGGAGCAACTGTCCCTAGCTCCCTGAGAAGAAAACACAACCCTGTGGCTCTCTTATCTCTGCCACCTCCTGGAGTTCCTCACCCACCTCCTGGGCTCCTGTAGCTCTGCGGGAACTGAGAGGTGAAGAGTGGGGAGAAATGTGGCTCCTTGGTGTGTGCCACAGAGCTGTACCGCGGCTCTGGGAGTCAGTCCTGCTTGGGCTGTCCCCGGGAGCTCTGGGACAACCTGGACATCAGCCCTGTGCCTCCGTGTCCCAGCGCTTCCCTTAGGGACAGCATCTGTGTGCAGCTGTGCCAGCCAGGCTCCTGCAGAACTGCAGATGTCAGCCACCGATTCTGCACAAATCGTGTTTTGTACAGATTCACCACTTTGCAGTTGCTGGTAGCTTTATGACTCGCTGTCAGTAATTTTCCTAGCAGGATAAGGAGCCATCTAAGCTGCTTTTAACACATCTGTTCTCCATTGCAGCCCGGGACAATAGAGTTGGACCCTAAGCAGGAGAGCAGCAGCCAGCCTGGCAGCTGCGTGGGATATCATTTCCCTTACAATACTCTACGGAAGCCCATCTCTCAGAGCAGCATGGCAGACTGGGCTTCTAAAAACCTGAACATGCACACGCAGGGCATCTTCCGCCGAAGGATCTCCATCTCCAACATGCTGTCCTGGAATGGCGGCTCTATCAAAAAGCCAATGCTCATCACTAGCAACCGCACCATCAAAAAAGAGGCGTGTGAGATGTTCAAACTGGTGCAGAGCTACATGGGAGATCGTCAGACTCGCATGGACCGGAATCACGTGGCATTGGTCACGGTCACCAAGTGCTGGAGCATGCAAGGTCTACGGGACGAGCTGTACATACAACTGATCCGGCAGACAACAGATAATACATGCTACCGGAGTCTGGCATGGGGCTGGGAACTGATGGCCATCAGTCTGGCCTTTTTCTCCCCATCACCCAAATTTCAGTCTTATCTGGAAGGTTACATTTATCGCCACCTTGACAGTGACGAAAACAGTAAGTGCCTCACGCACACCTGCTCTGTCCCCAGCAGCATTCTGGTGGGTTGAGCCACTTACTCAGGGTTGTCTGGTTTTTAAAAATACAGGTAGTCACCAGCCAGTGCTGCAGTTTCCGTCTGTGAGAGCACCATTCCTTGGCTGCCACCAGCTCATCTCCCTGCAAGTCTCACTTGTGCCTGGCAAAGAAATGCCAGCGCTAGACTGTGCTCATCTCGCCGGTCGGCACGGCAAGATCAGCACTGAAAAGAGCTGATTTGGACCCACCAAGGGCAGCGTTTCTGTGGGTTCTCTGAAGACATGATTTGCTTCAAAGTTCCTTAAAGCAGGCAAAACAAAAAAGGATGAATGTTATAACAGAATTTTTTGAGAGCTATTGCAAACATTACGAGCAGGCCTTAGCTTGGCAAATATTCAGAGATCCTGAAGTAAGGTTCTTCAGGTACAATCTTGCTGCCTGGAGCCCCTTCTCAACTATTTGGCCATTTGGATAAGCTGAGTGATGTTCTGGGCCCCTCGTTCGGGTGTGTTTGGAGCTGGCTGTGGTACAGGACTGTTCCCCAAGCAGACCTCCTCATGCTGGAGTTAGGCTGGCTACCATGTCTAAGGGCGGTTCTGGGCTTTGGTATTTTATCATTCCACAGTATTAATCCAGAGCCTCTTTTGAATTTGCAGTTGCCCAGCGCATCAAGGAGCTTGTGGATCTGAAAAACAAGAAGAATTCAAAATCCAGGAAAAAGAGGAAACAGAACACCGAGGATGAAGGTAAAGGGAGGCAGAGCATACAGGGAGCCAAGAGGCAGGACTGCGCTGGCCTCAGGCAGGCAGGGATGCCGAGCTCTGCTGAAAATCAGACCATTTCTTTACATGAATAGACTTAGATTCAGGAAGCTTTACTGCGGGTGGCTGGAGCGAGAGGTGTGACTGGAGCGTGGCTCGGCAGTGGGCAGCATTGGCACGGGTGGCAGTGTGGCAGCAAGGGGGACCCCTTTCACTCACAGTAGCGTGAGAAAGGGGATTTTAATTTGGGTGCAGACCTGGAGCTGTAATTCAACTCGTCTGTTTATGCCATGGAGTTTCCTATAGCACGTTCCAGTGCTAATAGTTGTACGAGCCAGTATGTGGAAAAGAACCTGTCTTGACTGTAGGAATGGATTTTGTAAACCACCACCCAACCTGAGGGCCTTCAGGGAGGACACCGATATCTGGAAAAGAGCACTGCCTTTTTCTCTCCAGTACTGGCTTCCCCTTGTCTGTGCTTCCTGGACTGCAGTCCAAGGCTTGCAACAGCATCTCTGCTGCATGAACAAGAGCTCATGTATTCCTCCAGCCTCAGGTTTTAGCTGCTGGCTGCAGGATAACACTTTATCTGGTTAAAGTCTTGCTAGACAAAGTCCATTCAATTTTTTTTTTTATATTGTTTCAGGAAACTTGAGCCAACTCTGTGAATTCATGTCAGGCAGCAGTTTAGATCATGTGGCCTCAGTGTTTTTAATCTGGGAGAGCTGGAGTCCAGCTTCCTGCCTTGCTGAGCCCTACCTGACACCAGCAGGCAGGCGTGTGAAAGGCTGACACTGCAGCTGCGCTCTCCCACTGTGGCTTTCGTGTCACTGCTTCCGCGAGGCAGCTGCAAGCCTGGGACATGGCTGAGGAGGCCCCTTGGTCGCAGCCCCTGCAGTAAGAGCATCTGTCGCTTCTCTCTCTCCGGTGGAATTCGGGACAGAGACCTGAAATTGCACAGAGGGATTACCTTTCTGGTAGGGATATGTCTTTTTCCTTTCCTGTTCAGGCCCAGGAGAGTTCTGTCCATTCTGAGCCTTCGAAATGTCATTTTGCTTGTGCTCAGAGGGACTTTGATATCTTTATGGGACAACTCCCTGGAGATTGCTCTGTGCAGGGCGTGCTCTCTCTGTGGGCTGAGCAGGCTCCTCTGTGCAATTGCTTGTCTATGTTGCATGTGCTGGACTTGTGCTTAGGAAGATAGAGGTGTATTTTACCTAAAAATAAGAAAAAATAAAATATGTATATATTTTTATAAATATGAAATGGTACGGAAAAGGCATGCCAGGATAGCTTTATAAAGTTTCCAGAATGAAGCACTTGAAAGTCAGAAGTGCCTGTGTGGCCTCAGCTGGGGCTCCGGTGACAGATCATGCTGTTCCCGTCACCGGACCCTGCTGCTTTCTGGCACATAAAAGACCCGCTCTGGCAGTGAACTGGCAGCAAACTGGGATTTTAGAGTTATGAGCTGGTCTGCAGGCTCCCGTCAGCTTCTGCAAAGATGGCAGGAGGGCCGGCAGACTGCTTGAACCAGCTTTTTCACAAGTGACCGATAACGCTGAGGATTTTTTCTGGGGCCTGAGCTCAGAGCTGCCCCTGAAGTAAGGGGAGATGCTGCAGGAACACGCCAGGTTCAATCTGCTGCTGGCTGGAAAGGTCAGGCTTTTCCTCAGGATGCCTGCGTCTGCTCCACCAGACGTGTGAGCGGTGGGCAGGACGCAGCTCCCTTAAGCTGCAAGGCTGTTGTGAGAAGTTAATTAGTAGCTCTGAAATACTTACTTACGGATGGTGTACCAGCAATATAGCAGAGAAAGCTGTATGGAAATTAAATGTACTGTCTTCAAACAAAACTGAATAGTAGACACGTAGGCATGTATATAAGTCTTTCAGTGAAAAATGGAGTTAAAGCATCGACTTCCCCACATACACACATGCTTCCTTCAGTGTAGAGGCTTGTAAGTAAACACTTGAGTAAACCTTTATCATCTGACATGCACCCAAAGAAATCATTTTGAAGTTTCCTATGCTTACCTCTGCAGTCTTTGTCATCTAGCATAATTTTCTGTGAGTAAATGAAATATGAGGGTGGTACAAGATCTTTTCATGGATCAATAACCCATCGAAAGGCATAAGAGTAACAGGTAGAAATAAATGATGTGTTTTCAGGAGGACTGTCTTCTGATCCTGCAGGAATGTAGCTGAGCTTTGGGTCTATGCAAGGAGACAAATAATGAGCTGGCAGCTCAGTGTTGGTACAGAATTATTTGGGATTGTAAAAACTAAAGGTGCAGAGAGATCTCACAGGGGTGAGTAACTGAGCGATCAAGCAGCAGAGCAAATTGTGTCAACCAAAGTATTGTACGTGGGGGAGACGTCCCTAACTGCACATGCAGAACAGTGCTGGATGCAGTCAGAAACCAAACAGAGGATCGGGAGCTTGTAGAAAAGGGACAGGGAGCAAACCAGCGCTTGGCCGTAGTCGTGCTGTGCCCGCTCCGCATGTCCTGCCCGTGTCCCTCTGGAGCTGATGAGTGCGGCACGGGAAGCCCCAACAGAGCTGGACCTGGAGCGGAGAAGGTCAGTGGGCTGCAGGAAGCTGCAGGTTACCTGGGGAAAGTGAGGGGAAGAAAATGTCTCCTCGTCTGTCATAGCAGAAGGTTGGAAAGCGCCTGGTTTTGTTGTTGGGCAGCAGGCTCAGGAGCACTCTGTCCTGAAGCAGAAATCGTTAAGAGTTGGCAAAGCGGGGTGTTGTGCAGATTAGGAGCATAAACAGGTTTAGGGAGAAATGGGACAAATTCAAAGAAGGGAGGTCTGTCAGTGGTGGTTGATGGTCCAGGTGTAGCACTGCCTCAGGGCATCTCCCACCTGCTGTTAGTTGGGAGATTTTCACAGGGGAATACTCATTTTTCAGACATCCTGTACCTGTTTCTATCCTCCCGGTGGCAGATGCAGGCTGCCAACTCGTACAGCCCTTTGGGCTGATGAAGCACAGCACGGCGTTTCCCACGTAGGGAATGGTGATGGAGCAGCATTGCTGGGATGCAGAAGGATGCACTGGTGGTGGGAGGAAGAGGGGCTAAAACACTGCCGCAGAGCGGGGTGCCTGGGCAGAGCTAAGCCAGGAGAGCGGCACGTGCAAAGCCCAGCTGAGGGGGCAGGAGGCACAAAGAGCCCTGTGCCAAAGAGCACAGCAAAGCAGCGCCCCGCTCTGAGAGCCTGCCCTGACACTGTCACGCTGAGGTCCGTGAGAGGCCGCGATAGATCGGAGAAATACCCAAACAACAGCTGCTGCTGTGCTAAAATACATGTCCCGTGGCCAGGTCCTGATTCCACATTTTTTGCTGCATTTTTTAAGACACTTTTTGGCAGGAGAGCATTCGCGTCTGTTCCAGAAGGTACGTTCCTGCGTGTGTCCTGCCTGGATTTTAACTTGTTATAAAAGGAGAGGTTCTTTAAGAAGCTCTTCGCATGTGCTTCTAGGCCAGCACGTGGAAAAATGTTTTCCTTTGCAAACTGTTTTTCACTGTGTGGGTTGTTAGTAGTCTTCTGTTCCCGAGCTCCTGGGGCTACTGTGGTACAGGAAATAACAGATCAGCTTGGATTTCACAGATTCACGATGTGCTCAGAGAAGTGGAATTGCCTCAGTGTTAGCCCTTTCCAGCCCCTGCAGGCAACGCTGCCGTCCCTGAACTGAGGGCTGTGCGCTGAGGAGCACAGGAGGTACCTATCCCGCTTGTCAGGAGAACTGACTGTGCGTGATGAGCTGGATGCCAGGAGCCAGTCTCTAGCTGAGCATTTTAAAAGCAGCCAGATGGTCGAGTCAAGTCGCTACTTTGGCAAAGTGGAGGCTAAAGCTAAATTCTGCTCCTCTCCCTCATGTTTCCCCCTGCAGCTCACTGCTTGCGTCCCAGTCTCTCCACATCTCCTTCGCCCATCTTGCTCTGCACATGCCCTGGGAGCCAGGAGCACTCCCGGCAGGGCGGATGACTTCTGCTATGGAGCAGGGAGGCTGCACCCTGCGCGTTTAAGGTGCAAGCCCCTGTGGGAGCCATTTGTTCTGTGCTGCTGCAGCAGAGTGCCAGTCACCCTGTTCTCAGGGCTCCCTCTGCTTTCGTGGCAACTCAGGTCCGTGGGCAGTAACTGGTCCAGCCCCTTGTGATGGGGCAGGTTTAGTTTTCGGATTATTTGCTTGAAATTTGGTTGGCTCCACATGTGGCCCCAGCAGTCCCCTCTGGGTTGGAGCTGCAGTTTGGTCGTTGTTGGGAGCACGATGCCTCGCTGCAGGAAGTGCAGGATGTAGGGTTTAGGCTTTTCCCAGGATCGAGGAGCTTTCTGGGAAAGTACAAAACAGGCTTCAAGCGAATGTGTCTGGCTGCTGCCCACGCATCAGCCGTGCAGGCTCTTCAAGGCAACCAGTTCCTTTGCAAACCTTGTTAAACTCTTAGGGTGATTATGGGTTTCATGGTCTAATTACAGTGTGAAAAAACATTTCCTATTATTAGTTTTGAATGTGCTGCCTCTCACGTAATTGTGAATCAGAGACACAGTCCAGTCTTTTTCCCATTCCCTCCTTCATGAAGTGGGTGACACTTCGCATCGGGGTGTATCTGCATGTTTTAACAACAGGAGCCGTAACCTAACGTAGTGAAGCATCACACAGCAGCTCATTGGTTTTGTTTTCTTTAATCCTTAGACATTTCCAGTATAAATCATGTCTGGGATTAGCAGGATTTTTGTATACAGGGAATATTTTGCTTTAGATATTCCCAAGGGAGAGAAATTCTTAGAACTGACTTTCCTTCCCATTGCCTGCCGGAGAGGGGGATGCTGTTGTACCTCCTTCAGCATTGCTCCAGCATTAACGGAGAGGCTCCACTCCAGCTGTGACAGGCAGATTGGTTGAGGCAGGGGGTGCTTGTTTCATCGTGGGGAGCCAACAACTGTGGTTTGTCTGCTGGCTGGGGGGAGAACAGGGGAAAGCGATCCCTCACCTTTGTGAATTGTTGTTCTGCTTGGGAAGAGCTTGTCCTTCCTCTGCATTGAGAGGATTTGAGGAAATCCAGGCTCCTGACCAGCTTACCGAAGCCATAGGGTGTGTGAAAGGCTGATCTGAAATACACAGCATCTGACCAGAATGTAGATTTTAAAAGCCACAAGTATTTTGAACTCTGCTGCAAGCTTTGAGCCTGGCAGGGAATCAAATAGGGCAGATCTATTCACTGCTTTCAGCAAGCAATTTGGGTTTGACTCGAAAAAGAACAAAAGGCCAACGGTTTTGGAAAAACTCTCCCAGCAATCAGTGCTCTGTCAGTGCAAACATTTCTCTTGGTGTCACAGGGGGATTAGCTCTGTGAATCCTGTCTCCGCTCACTCTCAGAGTTTGCTGAACCAAGCGCAACTGGAGCAGCCATTCTTGCGGAGGGCTGCAGCTTTTGCGGTGAAGTCCCCAAGCTCCGGTGTGTCCAATTTTCCTCGTATCACAGAGCACGCCCAAGCCTCACGGTATGAGGTTGCGTTGGAGGCTGTAGGCAGGAGAGTGAGGAAGCCTTCTGCAGGGCTTTGGGAAGACAAGAGAGACCCTACCCCCTTCCCGCACCTCTCCTTGTGTCCTGAGCTCGCTCTTGGTGCCGGTGCTGTCTCTCTGGCCCAACACGCCTTTCTCTGCCTCTCTCACTAGCCCAGGACTGCCGTTCTTGAATCATAAACAATTTGTTTTAAACACTTTGAAATCTTTCCTGGCAGGAGGCTGGCTCAGCGTGCTCTTTGGCTGCGATCTGGCAATATGTAAATACTCATCCCTGTGTCTGTGAGCCACATAACTCCAGCCGCGCTGCCAGGAGGGGGGACTCACACTCGCATGCGTGCCCAGGCTACGAATGCCGAACGGGCACCTTGTGCTGAATCAGGACAGGGTCAGGCTGCCTGTGTGAGAGGTGCAGATCTGCAGGAGCAGGGCTGGGGAGTGCAGAGCTATGAGCCTTGACTCGGAAGATGAATCCCTCCAAGCCCAAGTGCCGACTTGCACTGATGCCGCCTGCCGTGGGGCTGCGGGGCCAGGAGGCTTTGGGGCGCTCAGTGTGAGGTGTTGGCAGCGTCTCTGCCCTGCCTGCACAACAGGCTGCACAGAAGGGGGGTGGCTTTTTGTGCTGGTGGGAACTGCTGCACCGGTGCTCTCTGCAGGGCTCTGGTGCAGTGCGTGCCCGTCGCTGCAGGCTGACCGCTCATTTCTCCTTCCCGCAGGCCTGCCCATCAGCACCTACGCCAAATACTGCTACCGGAAACTCCAGAAAGTAGCTGTAACCGGAGGCAAAAAGGTGAGCGGCTGCCCCGGCTCTGGGGCCTGTAGGCTGCCTGCGTGGCACTCTGCTTCCCAGGTCCTGGAGCAGTCGGTCCTGTGACTCTCAGAGGTCACTGATGATTCAGTGATGGGAAACGGAGATAGAGCGAGCAAGCGAGGCTTGCTCAGGGCCCGTCTCCCCATGAACACGTGGGAGAAGGCTGCTGCCCGGGTCCTGCCGTCCTCCTGGCAGACAGCAGTGCCTGCCATGCCCTCAGGAATGTGAAGGACAAACCTGATGTTTACCTGCCTCCGTGGTAAGAGGAGCTGTCTGTGCAGGAGGTGCCCATCATTTGGCTTCTTCCTGTGAGGGAAGAGTCTCCCTTGGCCAGTGAGAGTTTGCATGGGCTGGTTTGCTGCAGAGTTGTTTGTTCTCAGTTAAAAAAAAAATCACGCAGCAGAGATGGCTGGTGTGGAGGGGAGCCTCTGCTCTGCGTTATCTGGAAATCCCCTTCCTCCCTTTCCTCCCTGCAGTTCTGCGTGGGGCTGTGGAAGCTGGCAGGCAGCCTCAGCCTGTCCATCCTGGGTCTCCAAGCCAGATCCAGTCATCTTTTATTTCTGCAAATCCCTTTGGGGCCTCCCTGGTGTACAGCAAGCAAATAGCTGAAATACCTCGGGAGCGGTGAAGGCTCCCGGAGAAGAAATGTCGGGACAGGCATTGCACACAACTGTAGCCCCTGTGGCCCTCCACGGGGTTGGCGGGAGCTTTCCCCCCATCGCACCTCCCACTTGGCCGCAGGGTCGCTGCTGAATGGCCACTGCACTGGGCAGCCTGTGGCCCCGATGACAGCGCTCTGCGTTTGTCCCGATCTCTGCCAGGGGAGATTCAAAGCCCCTTTCAAGTGTCGGCATCTTTGAGAAGCAACAGGTCCCAGTGCCTGCTTTTCAGAGAGCTTTAGCACCTCTGAGAGCAAAGCTTTCTCTGGAGGTGGACATACCTGGAATTCCCTTCTCCAAAGGGCTGTTTTTCAGCTGTTCTGTGGCCAAGCACTCTGCTAGTGCCAGGCCGGTGTACACATGCCCTCTGCTGACCTCCACCATGGCAGGGCCATGGCGGGGGATGGGCGGGGCTCCATCCTGCCTCCTGCTCCTCTACCTCTCCAGCAGGTAGAGCTGCAGCTGGAGCAGCCCCTGCAAAGTGCAAAACACACGGCAACAGAATCCCTGCAGAAACAGCCCTAACTCTCCAAAGTGATCTGCCAACAGGCAGCAGCTTCTCTGCTCCTCTGGGGCCTGATGAGTCGAACCCCCCCCAATTTTAGGAGGTGGAGGCTGCAGAGTAAGAACCATGCTGCCAGGAGGCCAGCGAGGTGCCTGTGAGTGTGGGCAGCTCTCTCCATCCTGGCCGCTCACCGCCACCGTCCCCAGGTTGCTGTTTCTCTGCGGGCTGGCTGTGCCAGAGCTGCACTGAGCTCTTTTCTGTCCTCAGGGCCTTCGTAAACCAACAGTGGAAGAGATAACGCACGCCAGGAGTGCCATCGTGACACCATCCCTCTTTGGCAGCTCTCTGGAGGAAATCATGCTGCGGCAGCAGGACATGTACCCGGGTAACAAACTGCCCTGGGTGCAGACGCAGCTCTCGCAGCAGGTCCTGGCTCTGGGAGGAGAACAGACAGAGGGGATTTTCAGGTGAGCTTTTGGGGTGCTGTGTTACTTTTGAGCCACCCACATGTCAGTCCTCAAAGCCAAGAAGTCAAGATTGACTTGCACATGCTTCCTCTTCCCTGAGAATAGCGCTCTGCCACGGATTGTCAAAACCTGACCTTTCCCAGGTTCAGGAATCGCCTCCTAAAGCAGCCCATTTGCATGCATTAGCACAGAGCGGACAGCGTAAATGTGACTTAGGCCAGCACGGACCCAGGCAAGGCATTGAACTTTCATCAACTTCACAGTTGGCCAGTGCAGGGAAGGTACGAGCTCTTGGGTCCCTGGCAGAGCAGTTCATCAAACGCAGCACGTCAGCCTTGGTGATGCACAAGACATGAGGAATCAAGAGAGACAAAAGAATCTGCATGGTGAACATAGGGGATTCTGGTTTGGGTTTGGGGTTTTCTTGTGTTTTATTTAAGAGTTGTGTTGGTTTTTCAGCAGTTAAACTTGATTTAAGGTAGCTAGCGAGAGACTCAACTTTGCCTTGTAAGGGTTTCTAATACCTTGGTATATGTAGCCAGAGATGCTTCTTATCTTTGGACTGAACGTGCTGCAGAGAGGCCTAGTTACAGAAAATAATTGTCCTGAGGACAGAATAGTTGATGAATGAGCTAGTGGGAAGGAGACAAGTGTTCTTCTATCCCCTCTTTAAAGCTGTGACTAAAACCAGGCAACCCGTTCTCTGAGGGACTGCTGCTGTAGCTCCTGCTGGTGCATGCTCCCTTCTCCTGGCGCCCCAGAAGCAGCTTTGGAGCCAGGGTTTGCCGGGCAGCTGCCGCACCAGGCGTGTGGCCCTACTCACTCTAAAGCACCTTCACTGTGTCTCTGCTTGCAGGATACCTGGTGACATAGATGAAGTCAATGCACTGAAGCTGCAGGTGGATCAGTGGAGAATTCCAAGTGGCCTCAGTGACCCCAATGTCCCAGGTACCGGAACGCAGCAGGCATATGTGCTGCGGCCTCAGCCATGGTACAGTGCAGAGGAGAAGGTACCGGAGCAGCCCAGGAGTGCTGCTGCCTGGGGACCTGCACACAGGGTGTCTTCATCAACCGGGGTTTCATTCTGTGCCTTTCCAAATACTGTCCCTAGAAAAAACACTGGGGGTGGGGGGGGAACCTCTGGCTCCGGCGCAGTGCAGCTGTCCAAGCTGGACAGCGTGCAGAGCAGCTGGGAGTCGTTCAGGAGCAGCACTCCAGCTCCAAGGTCTCAGTGTCCTTTCCTTTAGGCGGCCCCAGAGCCGCTTCCTGGAGGAGCAGGTAGGTAGGTAAGAGCTAGCGTTTCCCTCTAACTTCCAGTTTGGCTGCCTGAGAATTTCAGAGCCAAGACTGAAATGAGGTGAAACAGCACAAGTGCAGATTCCCTTCTCTGCCCTCTGTTTCCTGAGGCATTGAGTCTCACTGCCCAGTTTGCCTCTGAAGGTGGTGAGGAGGTAACCAGAGCTGTTCTCATGCACCCTGCTTTCTGCCCAGCCTCTCTTCTCAAGCTCTGGTATCGGGAGCTGGAGGAGCCCGTGATCCCCCAGCAGTTCTACAAAGAATGTATCAGCAACTACGAGAACCCCGATGCTGCCGTGGCCGTGGTGCAGCTTTTGCCGGAGCTCAACAGGCTGGTGCTGTGTTACCTCATACACTTCCTGCAGGTAGGCAGCCCCCACAGTCCTGCACCCTGCCCGGAGCATAT